GTTCACATAATACATAATACATAATACATAAACACCTTTAAACTTCCCCTATCTCATTTTTAATGCAGCTTTAGCCTTAAAGGTTCCTTCAAATTCAGCAACACTAACCAGTGGCTTGGAATGTGCATATGTTTTTAATAAGTATCTTAAATCATCACAACTCCAATAGTTACAAACACTTCAGTCTTTTTTTGTTTCAAAATAGTGTGCTTTAAATTCCATTCACTCTGGTACCCTCTGAATCACAGCTCCAGCAATCAGCCCCTCTCTCTACCTTTGAGCTCGCCCTCAACAGCTTCTTTCACCTTTTCATACAAATATACTCAAGTTTTTCCCAAGTTAAAAAACAAATTCTTCCCCTCAACCCTCTCTTCCTTCCTTCCCTCAGCCTTGGCTTTTGAAAGTATTGTCTCTACTTCCTCATTCACTGAAATATTTATTAAGTACCAACATGCCAAGCACCAGGGTCACAATGGGGAACAAAGCAAAATATTCCACTCACTCCAATCATCAGCCATCTGGTTCCCCCCAACCCCCATGTACACATCCATGCTGCTGAAATTACCATTAATTAACAATTAATTGCCAAGTTCAATCACCTTCTAGACTGTATTTCACTTTGTCCTCGCTGCAACAAAGACATTATTTCTTGAAATGCTCTCTTTTTAGTGAACCACACTATCCTCCTTACCTCTGGAAAAAAATGGAAGAGGATCTAAATCAATAGTAAAACATTCCATGTGCATGGAGTGGAAGATTCAATATTGAAAAGATGGAAATTCTCCTCCAAATGATTTATGGATATAACATAATCACTATCAGAATCCCAGGATATTTTTCTAAAAACAGAAATTGTCAAAGTCAGTGCAAAACTTATATGGAAATACAAAGGACCAAAAATAGCCAGATTTGAAAAAGGACAAAGTTGGAAGGCATAGACTTCCCAAATTTAAAAACTTACTACAGAGCTACCATAATCAAGGCAGTGCAGTATTGACAATAAGGAACAAAATCAAGAGCCCAGATACATAAACTCTTATAGTTATGGTCACTGGTTTCCTAGAAAGGTGTTAAAGCCATTGAGTGGGACAAAAAGATGGTCTTTTAAAATGGTTCTCAGAGAGTACTGTCAAGGATAAGGAGAAACTACAATCCTCATACACAACATGTTGGGGATAGTACACCCACTTTTTCTATTTCTTAAGCTAAACAATCATATGATCCAAAACTCCTAGTCTTAGCTACCGAGGAGAAATGAAATGCCTACACAAAAACTTTATAGAAGTATTATTCACAACAGCCCAAACCTGGAAACAATCAAAATGTCCATCAACTGGTGAATGGTTAAACAAAATGTGGTACAGTCTTACAATGGAATATTAACTCAGTGATAAAAAGGAATAATCTACTAATGTTCTTTTTATTCTATCTTCTAGAATCTATGTCTTTATCCCCATTCTGCCACTAACTTAATTCAAATCTTTCCAGGTTTCCTCTCCCTCTCAGCTCATGTCTTGTTATGGTGCCCAGGCTGGTCTTGAATTCGTGGGTTCAAGCAGTCCTCTTCCTTCAGCCTCTCAACCAGTTGGGATCACAGGCATGAGCCATTCAGCTCAACTAATCTTTCTTATTCTAAATCTGCTCTTCTCCAATCTGTCTTCTGTATGATCCCAGAAAACGTCTCTAAAAGCAAATCTGATCCTGCTATCCTAACTGAAACCCTCTGGGTCTTTCCACTCCCTAACTTGTCACAGCTGCAACAGTAACCTCTGAACTCTTTCTATACGCACTACCATGTTGAGCAAAAATGTCCAACATGTACCCTCAAATATGTATATTCACATATGATAAAATGAGTTCCTGCGTTAATTTGTTACATAACGTATATACAATTGACATTTACAAAAAGATCACACACACACAAAAAGAAACAAGAAGTAGTCCCAGTTTTCTTTTTTACTCATAGCGTTTCACATGTTCACATCCCTCTATGGAGACGAAAAGTCCAAACTCCTGTGCATGACATACAAGGTTGTGTATCATTTGTTCCCAGCCTACATGTCCAACTTTATCCCTCCCCATTTCACCCCACACACCATATGCTTCAGCCTTGACAAATTATTTGTAATTCCTTCAATGAGAAAGAAATTCAACTTCAGCTTGAATTCTTGAGATAATCCTCTCTGCATTTTGGCAATCGTTCTTTCCTCTTTCTGGAATGTCCTTATTGTCCTTTTTAGCACCATGAACGCTCATTCTGATCAAGTGTCTTGCCTCTCTAGTTGACTACTCCTACCTTAGTGTGCTGATTCCTATCATCCCTAGATTACATTCAAATTATATATTTGCCCTCTACTGTATAAGCTCTGCCATAGTACTTTTGCTCCTTGAGGAAGGAGGACAGTACCATGACATAATCTGTGTACAGAATCTTTAAAATTTTAACTTTTTTCCCAAATCTTTTCCAATTCTTAACTTTTGCAACAAATTAAAAAAGCTATTTACCTATTTCACGTTTTCCAAAACAATCAATTTCATTTTATTACAATTCTTCTTGACACTGATGTTTCATCATTTTCAACTGCACATTACAATAACAACCTACCATAAATATTCAACTCAGTTCTTGGGAGTGCTGAATAGTAACCTATCAGGCACAAGGATTCAACATGCTGTGGGGTATCAGCTGGTATGGTTTACAGAATAAAGAATGATGGTTAATTTGGCAAGGTGCTTAGTTGAAAATAAAAGAGCACATATACCTATAAAAGTCATGCTAAGTCAGGAATCTCATGGAGGTAAGAATAATATCCAAGTCTAGATCTCCTTACTTCTATTCTTTTCAGTGGCACAATATTTATAGGCTTCTACTTTAAAAATTCCAAGAGTGATTTTAAGATTTATACATGGGATGACTATTTTAAAAAAAAAATTAGTGAATAATATTCCCTAATAACAGATATGTCGTGGCTAATTTTCCATGTCCAAGGATTGTAAAAAAAAAAAAAAACTACAGGTGCTTACAACATGGGATTCTTTCCCCAATGAGAACATATAATTTGTACTTTTTAAGATCTTACTCTTGCAATATGTGGTGGTATATGCCTGTAATCCCAGATACTCTGAAGGCTGAGGCAGGAGGATCACAAGTTCAAGACCAGCCTGAGCCACTAAGACAGACCCTCTGGGAAGGGAAAAAGGAAGAAATTTTTTTTTTCTCCTTTCTTTTTTGGAGACAGGATCTCCTTGTGTTTCCCAGGATGGTCCAATATTCCTGGGCTCAAGCCAACTTCCCACCTCAAGCCTTTTATAGTACCTGAGTCTGCCACTCCATCCAACACCAGAGCAAGCAATTTTTACTGAACACTGATACTAAAAATCTAGATACGGTACAATATCAAATTTAGGGTTTTCTCAATCCAGGAATTTAAACTGTCCTGTGGGTGGATCTGATGTGCAGTTAAATGTTGTACATAATTAGGGATGTGTGTATAAACAAGCTATTTTAGCCTAAATTAAATTATTCTACCAAGCAATATACAGGTCTGCCTCATCTTTTGCAAAGTACCAGTCTCTTCTGTGACTATGGCCATACTAAAAAGAGAATGCTTCAGCACTGAGATGCAAGTAAAGCTGACATTTTACATAATGTGTGTCCCTGCCTGTCTCCTAGTATTAACACGATTGTTTGGTCTTTCTCTTAACGTTATATAAGAAGTTGCTGGAGAATGATGGAGGGGGTGAATTCAACTATGATATATTTTATGAACTTTTGTAAATGTCACAATGTACCCCCAGTAAAATCATAATATGATAATAAAAAAAGTTGCTAAGCTAGTCAATCACAAGAAAGAATGAGAGGAAAAAGTGAATTTTACAAGGATTTCAAAACTTATTTTTAATTATTGATGAAAAATAATGTCCATGAGTAATGGTTCAAAATTGAGTAAGAACAATGACATCCATGATAATACATTATATAATGCGGCCATTTAACATAACCTTCAACAACTGACCATGACCATAATCATTTACTACAGCTGCAGTTGAGTCAAAATGACCCTTAGACAAAATAAGTCTGTTCAATTATAGCCATAGTAGGATGAGCTTTCACGTCTTTTTATCTTGAGGATTTGTAATTTTTTTCTAAAACATCCAAATACATCAGACATATAGACAGTTCAACTATAAATGATACGCTGAAAAATTTTTAATCGTTCAGTAAATCTAAAGGTCAATACCAGCCTATGTGAAGCACAGTAAGCATGAAACAAATCTGAAGTGTTTTAATAAGTAATTTAATATCTTCCTAGTTAGTGAAATGCTTCATTCTGAGAACAGTGATTTCTACTACTGATTAAAAACAGTGACTGTGAAGGGCTTTGAACTGCTGCAGAGGATGGTTTTCTTTTTTTACTAGTGTTTCTCCATGAGCAGCAATTTGTCTCCAGCATCCTTCCTTCAAAAGCTCCCTAAAGTTAAAAGGTATTGCTGAGTTGTTTGTCAAACCTCATAATTTATTTCACCAGTCTCTTAATTGTACAGATGGAGAAACTGAGACTGGAAGGGTGAGTGAATCATCAAGGTCACAAGATGGTGTCAGAGCAGGAGTGGAAGCCCTCAGAAGGTTCACGAGAAGAGGGGCCCTGCCTGATGGTCATCACCATTGCCTTTCCATGTGACCCAGCTTCATACAGCAGAAACCAGTTTTCTCACAGTATTGTTCTCAGCAACCTCAAAGTCAGCACTGTGTCTTTCTAACACCGTACTTAAGATGGCCACTACGAGAAGCTCTCTCTTGGTACATGTGTCATAGTTAAAGAGAATATCAGACACACTTGAAATTAAATAAAACCTACACAAACAGTATTAAGCAAACTTCTGCTTTTCATGTAAACTGTCTCATCAAAAGGGAGTTCTTTTCATCATCATCAAGAGAAAACATCTGACATCAATTAGCTCTCAATGAGTTTAAAGCAAAAATTTAAACACAAAATTACCTTTGAAGGCTTCAAGTTCCTTCCTGTAGGGGGGGGAAAAAAGGGGAGAGAAATGAAATTTAAAATAATCTATTCCAAGTGAAAACTGCTTTTACGTTTTAATAAAAATTTATGTACTTTAAATGCCCAGAGTAGTAAATCAGAATGTTTACATATAAACTATACTTCACTGAAACTACCAGTACAATCAGACTAAGGCAATAACTAAAAGTTATTTCTGTTAATACCTACTAATGGCTCAAAAAATTCTACTGAAATTCAAATTGTTAAAACACTAAGCTAACTAGGCACAGTGGCTCATGCCTATGATCCCACCTTCTCTGGAAATGGAGATTGGGAGGATCATGGTTTGAGGCCAGCCCAGGCAAAAATTTAGAAAGACTCCATTTCAACAAATAAGCCAGGCATGGTGGATCACTTCTGTAGTAATAGGTATACAGGAGGTACAGGTTGGAGGATATTACTCCGAGGCCAGCCCTGGGTCAAAAGAATGAGACCCTGTCTGAAAAATAACCTAAAAGCAAAAACAGGTTTGGAAGTATGGCTCAACTGGCAGCGCTAGGCCCTGAGTAAAAAACTCAGTACCACCAAACCAACAAAATACTAAAACACCTTTTCACCAAGAGGGAACTGAAAGCAAAGAATGAAGCCTCCCTTCCCCCAAAGCCGAAGCCAAAGCCGAAGCCAAAGCAAAAGCCAAAGCTTAAAGGCCAAGAAGGAAGTACTAAAGGTATTCACAGCCATAAAAAGAAAATATGCATGTCACCCACCTTCCCGCAGCCCAAGTTGCTGCAGCTCTGGAGGCAGCCTGAATACCCTCAGCAGAGTACCCCAGGAGACAAGCCTGACCATCAAGTTCCCCTGGCCACTGAGTCGACCATGAAGAAGACGAAAGACAACAACACACTTGTGCTCACTGAGAATGTCAAGGCCAGCAAGCACCAGGTCAGACTGTGAAGAAGCTCTGTAACAGTGACATGGCCAAGGTCAGTGCCCTCTCAGGCCTGATGCAGAGAAGAAGGCATATGTTCACTGGCTCCTGGTTATGATGCTTCGGATGTTGCCAACAAATCTGGGATAATCTAAACTGAGTCCTGCTGGCTAATTCTAAAAAAAACCACTTTTATTTTTTTACCATCAAAATCAATAAAGTACTAAAACATTACAAGAACACAGAGGACAGTTTAATCAGTTATAGATCAGCTCATACATATAAGAATCAATTTATAAATAAAAGCACTTATTATAATTTTCATCCGTTGATAAATATTAGATTTTTAATGTCTTTAATTAAAAATTATATAGAAGTAGCTATTTTTCTTTTTAGCACAGGGAGAAAAGTAGCAAAGAAGAAAAGGGGGAAAGCACCTATCAAAGGACTGAGGTCCACAGTTCACCCCTCCTTCACAAATCTTCTGGTTTGTTATTCTGTCAATGTCAATTAAGGATGCTGAAATGCAAAGTTTCCTGGGGAAATGTGCAGTGGAGAAAAACAGATGATTGATCACAAAATAAATATTTTGTGACAAAGAAGCCAAAGCAAGTTGTTTTCAGGTTTTTCCTCATAATTTTGTAATTGTATACATTTTTCTCAGTATCAGTACAAAAAGAAAAGTATTTTTGAAGAGGTTAAGTTTATTATCCCACTCAGAGTTTGAGACATTTAGCTTTTATGAAGACTCTAAGTTTTACTAAACATCAGGAGATGTTCTGAATTCTCACATCAGTATCCCCTATTCCTAATTACAATACCCCCATGTTCCGAAGTAGTTGATTACAATGAACAGCTGTAGGCAGGACAGGCAAGCTACCACTGAAAGAGCAAGCAAACAATGTTCTTGCACAGCTAAAGTGAAGGTCCTTCAATCAGATGGTCACCCACCTCTTTTCTTAGAAACACCTCATTTTTATAATAATTCTTTAGCACCATAGTTCATAAACTATCAGAGAATATAGTTTTCAATGCTATCTTTTCAAAACACTGTGCAATTGTTTCCCTTCAACAATTCAACAACAGTCAACTTCATTCTTAAAAGCTTAGTTAAGTACAAGTTAAAGATGCCTAAAATCTACTTTATACTTCAATCGTGGGATGAAGGGGAAAATGCACCATAAGAGAATCCTGAAAAGATGCCTTTGATTTCCCTCTCTCTGACTGATGCTTCACAGCAACAATTCCCTAAGGCCACCGATGGGGAAGGAGAGTTATATATTCAGTTCAATAATTCTTGTTTTCTATGATTATAAACTTCATAGAGCTCCTGATTTAGTTCTTTTATAATGTGTGTTCTTTCATACGTGGAAGATGGAAAAGATGAACATACACACAAAAACAAGCATGATCATATACAAACTCAGATGTAGAACATGTTTGAAATAGTGGAACTACTCTATGCAACTCGGGGAAGGAGGGAAAGGAAAAGAGAATGACAGAGCAGCAACAATATTATGAAACATAACATCTGTGAAGGAAGAGGATATAAGGATGTATATTGAAAGCTGTTAAAAAATAGAGGGTAGGAGGCAAAGAGGTAAGGGAGAGTAATGGAAGATATTGAACAGACCAAAGTAAAGTATAACCATAGAAGGGATACACAGAGAAACCCCTTTGAACATCAATATAGATATCAATAACCAAAGTCAGGATTGTAAAACAGGTACAGTATGTGTAGATGTGGGGGTACTTATGGGAGGGTGAGGGGTGGGGGAAGGAGATTAAGATGAGGGAATATGGTTGATGGACTTCATATATGAAATACAACAAAGAAACCTCTTGGAATAGTTTTAAGTGGGGTGGAGAAGAAGGTTGGGGGGGAAGAGATGGTGGATGATCTAACCATTGTACAATATAAGCCTACTTGGAATTGTCACAATGAATTCCCCCTGTACAACAAATATATCCTAATAAAAAAATTAATGAAAAAATTTCTAAAACAGTACCCCCAGTTTTAAAAAGGGGAAACTGAGGATAATAATTTCATACATACTGGTTTTTCTCCCATCCTCCAGTCCCAAATACCAAGAATCATAAAACAAAGAACTCAGTGTCTGCTACATTAGTGAGTAACTGCTCAATTGAGGAGTACTGCCTCTCATGTGGAGCTGTCTCTCAACTTTCTGGCTGCCTTGTCAAGTCACTGGGAAGCTGCTACCCAGAAGAGAAAACAAGACTAGTGGAACACTCACTATAGGGATCCCCTATTTACACAATGTCATGACCCACAATTGTTAGACAAAATTCCAAGAAATTTCCTTTCAGAGTTAATCATTCCTGCGCTCATTACTAAAAAAGAAGGTTGGTTGAGATAGTGGTGGTAAAGTAAAACCAGCATCATGGGATTGCTGTACAGAAGTAGTACTGAGAGTCCTGACATACTGTCACTTTCAAGTGAATCCCAACATCTGTTTACAGCCATAAACATTTGGAAGTGTGGAAGATATAAGAGAAGGCGAGGAGGCAGTGGTGAATGGGAAGGCATGGGGGCCAGAAGGTGCAGGCTGTATTTAGAACACGCTCTTCAGAGCAGTAATCCTTCAGCAAGAATTCTTCCTGAAATAGGTTGAATGAAGTGAAAGTAGTAACTTCTGATAAGAAGGTAGAGGGTTCTCAGTGCCAGAGCAAGGTTTGGCTTTGTATTTTTAGACCAAGAATAGAATGAGAAAAGCTGAGCTTTGGAAGAACATTCTAGCCATGATGGACAGATCACTGGCAAGGGAGAGAATAAAATCAAGGAGTATTTAGGGAACCCCAAAGGGCTTATTTGTTGGAAGTGTGGGCCTCAGTGTAGCTTTGTTGGAAGGTGTTGGGCCCTTTAAAAGGTGGAGGTCACTGGGAACATTGTCCTTGGAAGGGACTAAATAGGTAATTCCCAGGGAGTATGTTTTCTATAAAAGAACAAGACTGGTCCCTCGAAGCTCTCTTTCTGTCTTCCTTTCTTACCATGTGACCTCTTCCACACATTTCCTTCATTGTGGAAGAATGTGGTGTCATTGTGACACCATCCACTATGTGGCCCTCACCAGAACCCTTTTATAGGCTACCCAGCCTTAATTATCTTGTTATAGCAATGGAAAGTGGAGTAACACACTAGTCTGCCTGAGTCAACATAGTAAGGAAGCCCCTTTACTCTAATACTTACAAAAAAGTACCCTGAAGTTAACTGTTACGGTTTGTATATGGTTGGCACCCACTAAAACTCATGTTGAGGCTTAATTCTGTGAGTGCTTTGAAGGACTTAGGGGCACCTTTCAGGAATGAGTTCTCACAGGACCAGTCTAGTTACTGCAAAGATGGGCTGTTATAAAACAAGGCTGCCCCTTGTGCTCTCTCTCTTTACACATATTTGTTTGCACTCCCAGTTTTCCACCATGTGTGGAGAAGCAAGATACCTCCATCAGAAGCCAATCAGATGTAGCCAACCATAGACTTATAGGTTCCAGAAATGTAAGCTAAGAAAACTTTTATTTATAAATCATCCAATCTTAGGTGTTCAGTTACAGCAACAGAAAATGCACTAAGATGTGAGCCAATTGGCTATTTTTCTGTTGTTCTGTTTCCTTGTTCCCACCTTACAAACCCCACTGTTCTGCTATTACTCAGAAGCCAGAAGCTTTCATTCGGTCTTGTACAATGGAACTACCCTGATTCAGGAACCACAAATAAAAATCAGTAAGATCTATAACTAAATTTGTTTCAGTTTTGTCTTTTGAAAGTTCTGATGACCAAAGGAGACTTCTGTGACCCTGAGGCCTCTCTCAGCACTGACCTCCTTTTTGGGGTCTTTTGGCTTCTCACAGAGCCCTGGGAGTCATAAATTCCTCCCAAATCTGAAGCTCTGATTTCCTTTGCACTGAGCTCCCTTATCTTTTTGAATCTGGGGGAAACAAAGGCAGTCTGTTCAGTGAGAGGGCACTTGACCTCTGAGTATTAGGTGGCAAACAAGCCAGTAGTTAGAGCTGCAGTTCTGAATGCTATTAACAGTAGATGCAGAGAATGGTTATTACTGCAGAGGATGTGGACTCT